GAGAGGGGGAGGAGGAACCGGGAGACCTCGACAGGGCTATCTGACATATTCGGGGACTAACTCGTCGAAACGGACGTCACGGGAGTCAAAGAACCGGTGAAGGGGAGGGTGGTAAAAGGTGAAGTCAGAGGAGTCCTCTGGGAAACCAAGGAAGACACAGGGAACGGCGCGAGGCGAGATCTTGTCCGCGGAGGTGTCGCGAACAAGTGCCAAGCAACCCCAGACACGAAAGCGTGACGCAGCACCATTTGAGTTGGTCCAAAGACTGGTCGGTGAAACCTCTGGCCGAGAGACACGTGGCCAGAGGTTCAGCTAGTGAGCGGCGTACCCAACCGCGTAGGGCCACAGAAAATAGGGGGCACGGGCGTGGATCATGGAGGTGCGGGCAATCTCCATGACCAAGCCTATGCGGCGGTCAGCAACCCCATTGTGCTGTGGGGACTCTGGAAGCGACGAGGACTGACGGATGCCCTGCTCGCGACAGAATCCAGCGAGTATGCCGGAGCGAAACTCATCCCCTCCGTCGATGTGAAGACAGCTGACACGACGACCACGAGTGTCTGCAGTGGTAAGCAACCACTTGATCAGCGTAGAAGTCACCTCAGACTTCTTCGCCAGGGGGAACACTGTGGTGTAGCGGGAGTAGTCGTCAACAACCACCAGAAAGAAACGCTCGCGCTCAGGGCCAGGGCGAGAGGCGGGGCCCCAGACGTCCAAGTGGAGAGTCTCAAAGGGCTCGGTGGCCGGACGAAGGGAGGAGGAGTGAGGGGTGGCGCGCAGCCGACCCGCAACGCAGGGACCACAAGGTGTTGCAAGCAAAGGTGGCAGCGACGGCAAGACACGCGGGAGGCCTAAGACAAGACACGGACGAGACATAGCGCGCAGGCGAGGAATGGACGGGTGCCCCATCCGGTGGTGCCACAGAACGGTGGGGTGGGCAAGCGACCGGCAGGAGCAAGACGCAGCAACTGGACCAGACACGGGAACCTGACCAGACACAGCTACCTGGTGAGACGCAGACACAGCTACCTGGTGGGGACCTAGCGGGGGGCAGTGACAGGGGTCGGGGGCAGTAGCTGCTGCTGCTGCGGCTGCTGCTGCTTCTGCTGCTGCTGCTGCTGCTGCTGCTGCTGCTGCTGCTGCTGCTGCCGCTGGTGCTGCTGCCCTCGGGGGCCAGTGTGAAGTGTGTAGAGACCAGAGCCCGGTTCAGCGGTGAAGGTGGCCAGAGGCTCGTACGTGTCACCGTCTACACAAACCGCAGTCTCCCCAGAAGGCTCAATCCAAACACCCACGTGACTACTCACGAGCGGCCTCACACCCACCAAGTTCCTGGAGAACGAGGGGACGTGGAAGCCCGTCAGGAAACCCGAGGGAACAGCTGGGCACGGAAGCGTAGTAGTGTAGCGAGCAGTGACTGGTCCCGAAGTGGGATCAGCCAGTGCTACAGAGACAAATGCAAAAAGCGGAGTAAGATCGCGCAAGAAACAGTGCGAAGCTCCGGAGTCCAGAGTGAAAGACAGCGAAGCGTCCTCCGGAGCAGCTCCTGGACTAGTGTCTACACAAGTACCTACACTAGCAACAGGCACCTCAGCAAGACTAGCACCTAAGCTAACAACACTCAAACAGACAGTGACAGAAGCACTAGAGTCAACAACAGCATACATAGCATGAGGAGTTCCTAAGAGATCAAGCAACTGAGAAGCCGACATGCCCCACAGAGCGGGGCCGTACGTCTGAACAAGGGGAAGCCAGTCAGGAGCAGGGTCGTCAACATCGTAGGCCGCATGAAGTGTGTGTCAGTGAGCTGAGCAAAGCACTGATCCAGTGGGTGGCTGTGGCGAGTACCTGTCTGAACGAGATAGGTGCAGGGAGGGTGGACGGCACCGCGCGACAGCTGACGCGGTCCTGACCCCTGCCCCGGAACCTGCTGCTGCCTCTGCTGCTGCTGTGGCTGCTGCGAGAGGAGTGGCTGCTGCTGCTGCTGCCGCTGAGTCAGGTACCAAGCCGCCACTCCAGCACCTGCAGGTGGTAGACCAGCAGGTGCCTGACGAACCCGAGTGTCACCTCCACCAGCTGCAGCAAGGGAGTCACTCCCTGCACGAGGCGCTCCTCCAACCCCTGCACTCCCACCACCGCCGCTCGCCACGCCACCTCGGTCGCCTCCGCAGCCTCCGCCTCTCCTGCCACTCCTACCCCTAGACCGCGAAGAAGTCGTAACAGCAGCTGCGGTCACGTCAGTAGCGGCAGTGGCGAGGGAGGCAGTAAAGGTGGGCAGCTGAGGGACAGTGCACTCATGAAATAGTGGAGGGGGCACAGCGCCAGAGGCGGAGGCTACCGAGCGGAGGTTGCTCTCGACGTCCTTGAGGGCAGACTCAAGGACCTCGATAGTGAGCTCGCTAGGGTGCTTCAAAAGAAGCGCGTCAGGAACCGAGGCAAGGCAGTCAGGGAGGCTAGTGGCGATGAAATAGATAGTAATCGCCATGGGGGGAGGGAGCAGTGCAAGCTGTGCGTCAGTGCAGGCAGCGCGGTAGCTAGAATCGAGCGAGCGCAGGTGAGCGATCAAGTCAGCAGAGCGCTCAAACGAGGCGAGGTCAAGAATCAGGAATGGGAGGAACAGTCGACCAAGAGAGACAGTGGTGGGAGTAGCGTAGCGGGCCTTAATCGCAGTCAGGAACTCACTGGCTAGCAGTGCGAACCTGAGTGAAGTGGGTCTCCTCAGAGTCAGGAAGGAGGCTGCTGAGGGCGATGAAGGCTGCAGCGTCACGCGACTTCCACGCTGTCAGGTCAGCACACTGGCGTGCATAACGATCTCTGTCTGCGGTGTTGGCGTCAGCGTCTTAGGGTGCAGGGTCGGCAGGCGCAGGAAGGTCACCGGAAGCGTGCGCCCACTAAGACTCGTCTGTCTGGACCTGACTCTCTAAGAGGCAGCGAGCAGGCAGGAGCGACCGAGAACTCGAGCGGCCTACCCTCGGCGTCAAAGCGCAGGACCCTAGGGGTCGTCATAGTGGAAGCGAGGGGGTGGGAACTGCTGGTGCCGAAACCCTAAAATGTGAAACGGCCTGCTTAGGGCGGTACAGGTAGGGCGCGGTGCGGCAGGACGGAACGGGCGCGGCGTGACGCCGCGCGGCAGGTAGGGACGCGACAGCGCAGCGCGGTGGGGCGGGCAGGCACGGCGCACGCTACGGGGGAGGGGGGGGGGGGGGGGGACGGGCGCGACGCACGCGACGGGCGGGACGGGCGCGGCGCACGTGACGGGCGGGACGGGCAGGAACGGGGGCGACGCGGCGGACGGGCGCACGCGACGGACGGGACGGGCAGGGACGGGGGCGACGCGGCGGACGGGCGCACGCGACGGACGGGACGGGAAGGGACGGGGGCGACGCGGCGGACGGGCGCACGCAACGGACGGGACGGGCATGGACGGGGGCGACACGGCGGACGGGCGCACGCGACGGACGGGACGGGCAGGGACGGGGGTGACGCGGCGGACGGGCGCACACGACGGACGGGACGGGCAGGGACGGGGGCGATGCGGCAGACGGGCGCATGCGACGGACGGGACGGGCAGGGACGGGGGCGATGCGGCGGAGAGGCACGACACGACGGACGGGACGGGCAGGGATGGGCACAACGCGGCGGGCAAGCGCGACGCGACGAACGGGACGGGCACGGACGGGCGCAACGCGGCGGGCAAGCGCGACGCAACGGACGGGACGGGCAAGGGGGGGGGGGGATAGGAAAATTAGGCGCGACGCGATCGGTAGGCACAGCGGGCGCTAGGGTAGTGTACGGGCGCGACTAACACTAGGGTACGGGACAGGCTAGGGCGTTACGGATGTGAACGAGAGGAACGGGATCCCACAGGATCCTAACCTAGGTGATACCATGTCAAGAACTGAATGATGGTTTGACTAAGGTTGGTTGGGGTACATAAACCTAACCCTAAGTGCTGTACCTTTTACTACACACATCACTAAAGGCTACAACATTTGACAAGCCAGACCTCCGCGGCTCCGCATATTAACGGCTTGGCGGGGCTTAGCGCGGAGGTGAAGTGGAGCGGAGCGGGAAATGTTGAGCGCGATAAGGTCTTTGCGGAGAGCGGAGCAGCCTGGAAGCAGTGACGCGCCCACGCGGAGAACCAGATTTATCGCGCGGTTATGGGGAAATGAGGGTCGTGAGGCTAGCGCGATGGAGTGAGGCGTTAGCGTGATGGCGGACGAGTCGATTTCGCCGGGCGTTTCGGCGCGTCAGCCGCCCGCGCGAAGCACCTCGCACGATACTTGGATTGCGCGGAATATTCGCGTGCGCGCCCCCGCTCAGACGTGCATCCCCTTTCCAGACTCCTAGCGGTATGCCATGTGTGAATCTGATTTCACGTACCATCGGACCCTTGACTCGTCCCCATTCGCCCCATGCCTTGCCCGCACCCTCCTCCTCACTTCCCTCCTTGCTCTCCGCATGGGGGATATCGGCGGGGAGAGCGCGGAGGTGCGCATAGAGAGCAGCTGTAACACCTCGCTACCCACTGGGTCAAAACGAGGGTTATATTTGAGGCGCAGCAGATGCACTCAAACCTTACGTGTAAGCCCCGCAGGCATTACAGCAGCCCTTCCCGCGCACGTCTCCGTCCTCTCGTCGCGCACTCGCACCTCCCACCTCTCCTTGCTTATCCGTTCCCCACCCGCGCTCTCCGCGTGCCGCGCAACTGCTTCCCGTCAGTTGCGCGTGCCGCTCCCCCATCCGCTTCAGCTTGACGCCATGGGCAGTGCGGGTTTGACGAGCGCACGGGTCGCGGCGGGTGGAGGCGGAAGGTGGTCGTGGGGGACCGCGAAGGGCAGATGGAACGTGTGCGGGCGGGGCGGAAGCGCGGATGGGAACGTGTGACAGTGGCGGGGCAGGGAGCACTGAGGGGCGGGGTTGAAGTGCACCCTCTCTCTACAAGCGCCCTTGGTAGGCGCTTAGAAACTCCCCCCAGGCTAGAGGGAAGGGAAGGGTGGATGGGCACAAGGGCGGATGGGCTCAAGGGGGGATGGGGCGCAAGGTGGGATGGGGCGCAAGGCGGGATAGACGATGGCAGTGGTGGCATTGGGACGCATTCCTGCCAAAGCAGGTAACAGCAGGCTGGCTAGCTAATTGGGAGGAGGGGCTAACAAGGGAGAGACGACCAGGAGAGGTGTGAGAAGGGTCATGTGATTCTGGGAGGTGTGAGTACGGGAGGTGTGAGCATGGGAGGTGTGAGTATGGGAGGTGTGAGTGTGGGAGGTGTGAGTGTGGGAGGTGTGAGTATGGGAAGTGTCAGTATGGGAGGTGTGAGTGTGGGAGGTGTGAGCATGGGAGGTGTGAGTGTGGGAGGTGTGAGTATGGGAGGTGTGAGTATAGGATGTGTGAGCATGGGAGGTGTGTGCATGGGAGGTGTGAGCATGGGAGGTGTGAGTATGGGAGGTGTGAGTATGGGAAGTGTGAGTATGGGAGGTGTGAGTATGGGAGGTGTGAGTATGGGAGGTGTGAGTGTGGGAGGTGTGAGTCTGGGAGGTGTGAGTATGGGAGGTGTGAGTGAGGGAGGTGTAAGTATGGGAGGTGTGAGTATGGGAGGTGTGAGTGTGGGAGGTGTGACTGTGGGAGGAGTGAGTATGGGAGGTGTGAGCATGGGAGGTGTGAGCATGGGAGGCGTGAGCATGGAAGGTGTGAGCATGGGAGGTGTGAGTGTGGGAGGTGTGAGTATGGAAGGTGAGTATGGGAGGTGTGAGTGTTGGAGGTGTGAGCATGGGAGGTGTGATCATGGGAGGTGTGTGCATCGAAGGTGTGAGCATGGGGGGTGTGAGTATGGGAGGTGTGAGTGGGAGGTGTGAGTGTGGGATGTGTGAGTATGGGAGGTGTGAGTATGGGAGGTGTGAGTGTGGGAGGTGTGAGTGTGGGAGGTATGAGCATGGGAGGTGTGAGTGTGGGAGGTGTGAGTATAGGAGGTGTGAGTGTGGGAGGTGTGAGTGTGGGAGGTGTGAGTGTGGGAGGAGTGAGTATGGGAGGTGTGAGCATGGGAGGTGTGAGCATGGGAGGTGTGAGCATGGGAGGTGTGAACATGGGAGGTGTGAGCACGGGAGGTGTGAGCATGGGAGGTGTGAGTATGGGAGGTGTGAGTGTGGGAGGTGTGAGTGTGGGAGGTGTGAGTGTGGGAGGTGTGAGTATGGGAGGTGTGAGTGTGGAAGGTGTGAGTTTTGGAGGTGTGAGTATGGGAGGTGTGAGTGTGGGAGGTGTGAGTATGGGAGGTGTGAGTATGGGAGGTGTGAGCATGGGAGGTGTGAGCACGGGAGGTGTGAGCACGGGAGGTGTGAGTATGGGAGGTGTGAGTGTGGGAGGTGTGAGTGTGGGAGGTGTGAGTGTGGGAGGTGTGAGTATGGGAGGTGTGAGTGTGGGAGGTGCGATTATGGGAGGTGTGAGTGTGGGAGGTATGAGTATGGGAGGTGTGAGTATGGGAGGCGTGAGCATGGGAGGTGTGAGTATGGGAGGTGTGAGCATGGGAGGGGTGATCACGGGAGGTGTGAGCATGGGAGGTGTGATTATGGGAGGTGTGAGTGTGGTAGGTGTGAGTGTGGGAGGTGTGAGTGTGGGAGGTGTGAGTGTGGGAGGCGTGAGAGTATGAGAGGTGTGAGTATGGGAGGTGTGAGTGTGGGAGGTGTGAGTATGGGAGGTGTGAGTATGGGAGGTGTGAGCATGGGAGGTGTGAGCACGGGAGGTGTGAGCATGGGAGGTGTGAGTGTGGGAGGTGTGAGTGTGGGAGGTGTGAGTGTTGGAGGTGTGAGTGTGGGAGGTGAGTATGGGAGGTGTGAGTGTGGGAGGTGTGAGTATGGGAGGTGTGCGTATGGGAGGCGTGAGCATGGGAGGTGTGAGCATGGGAGGTGTGAGAGTATGAGAGCTGTGAGTGTGGGAGGTGTGAGTATGGGAGGTGTGAGTATGGGAGGTGTGAGAGTATGAGAGGTGTGAGTGTGGGAGGTGTGAGTATGGGAGGTGTGAGTATGGGAGGTGTGAGTACGGGAGGTGTGAGTGTGGGAGGTGTGAGTATGGGAGGTGTGAGTATGGGAGGTGTGAGTATGGGGAGGTGTGAGTATGAGTATGGGGGTGTGAGTATGGGAAGCAGTGAGGGCACGGTGGTTGGAGCATGAGACATGTCACAGGACGTGTGCGGTGGGGTGGGAGTGTCAAAAGAAAGAGGGTGGAAGAATGAGAGGCGATTTCTATGCACGGGAGGCTGTGACGAATGGAGAAGAGGTTTGGAAACAGGCAAGTGGCATGTGGTGCAGGAGTATGGATGGATGGATGGGCTGCTGTGGGTTGCCATTTTATGCAACTTCCCATTTTCACTTCCCCAGCCCACTTCCCTGCCATTTCACTTTATAGTGCAGTTCTTTGTCCTAGCTTCCTATTTCCACTTTCTTAGTCATGTTTGCACTTCCGATTCTGAGTCTACTCATATTGTCTTTTGTTCAGTCATCTTCACTGTCATTTTCCCTGCCTACTTGCTGTACCATTTTTGCAAGAACTTTAATTATTTGAAAGACTTTGCCCAACCATGTGCTCATTTGTTGCCATTGTTTTCACGTGCATACCATGGCAGGAGCAGGCATGGCATCTCCCTATGAAGGAACGCCTGGCCCACACCATGCCACCATGGAATTTGCGATGACAGCACATGGTGTTCTGCGACTCAATGCTGTATAATGAATCGCCTTCATTGATGCCGGTATCCTTCCTGCTGGCTGCTGTTGACCACGCATGTGACTGTCTTGACTCTCGCTAACTCAACCTACCAGCCCCCACTCCTCTCTTCTGGCAGGCTTTGCCGTCTTTCAATGAGCTCGCCCCGTCCTCCTGCACTCGACATCCAATCCTGTCAGGCCCTAGTTCTGGTGTTTGAAGTGCATGGATGACACATGTTGAACATTGTCAAGAGATATCTAGGTTAGGAGCCTAGGGTTTAGGAAGAGAGAGTTGGCCAAAAAGGATATTCACTAAGGAGTAAGGAGTACAAATAGGCTAGTGGAAACATGTGGTGCACCACCAACAGTTTATAATGACTACAGTAACTATAGCAAGTAGGATATAACATAACTTGACACACCCCCTTAGCCTGCTTGCGGTAGGAACTGGAGCAGTTAGTACCCCCTGAAGGAGTAAACCAGGTGCAGTGGAAGATGGCAGAGAGGTAAGGAAGGAGGAGGAGGCGAGAGGAGAGGAGAGAAGAGGAGAGGAGGTGGGGGGCTTGCATGAGCGCGCACGCTCAATGCCCGGGGTACCCGCTTACGAACCTCCTTTTACAAAGGGGGAAGTGAGAGAGGAAAGGGAGAGGAGGTGGGCTAGGTGGGCATGAGCGCGCACGCTCATAACGATCCTTCCCCGTTAGTAACCCCCAAGTCCCGATGAGGAGAGGAGGTGGGCTAGGTGGGCATGAGCGCGCACGCTCAATGCGATCCCCCCCCCCCCCCCCCCCCCCCCCCCCCCCGTTAATAACCCCCAAGTCCTCACCCCTCTTTTCAGTCAACCCCTTTAACCTCACTTCCTCTGCACCTTTCTACTTACGCCCACCCCTCACACTCCTCTCCTTCTTCCCCCCCCCCCCCCCTCTCCCTCTCCACGGCGACAAGCCCTAGAGGAAGAGAGAGAGGAGGGATGGGCTACTGGCTGGTCACCCCTGCCACCCCCACATCTCCCCCTCCCCCCCCCCCACACAGCAGAAGCCGCGGAAGGGAAGGGGGGGGCGGCGTACGGAGCTGCTGGCGCTGGCGTCCGCGGTGGCGCAGGCGCTGGCGCTTTGTGGCTGGCGCTGGCGCTCGCGGCGTCCGCGCTGGCGCTGGCGTCTGCGCTGGCGTACGTCGCGGACGTCCGCGCTGGTGCCTGGCAAGGCGCTGGGCGGGCTGCGCGCGGTCGGAACGGGTCGCGTGCGGACGGGACGAGCTGCGCGCGGGGCAGAACGAGGTGCGTGCAGAGGAAAAAGGGCTGCGCTCAGGTCAAAACGGGCCGCGCGCAGGCAAAACGGGCTGCGCGACGAACGGGCAGGCACTTCGGGCGCGACGGACGGGCATGACGGGACGGGACGGGTTGGCGCCTCGGGCGCGACCGGTGACTAACAAAATAGTGCATTTCGCGCCGCAGTGGGAGTGGGCCCATGTTCCTTGAGAGAAGGTGGTTCCTAAGACCGTAGTAGCTCTGATAGCATGTCAAGAGATAGCTAGGTTAGGAGCCTAGGGTTTAAGAAGAGAGAGTTGGCCAAAGAGGATGTTCACTATGGAGCAAGGAGTACAAATAGGCAAGTGGAAACATGTGGTGCACCACCTCAACCTGTTGACACCAATTTCTCCGAATGCATAGGACCCAATTTCTTACCTGATCCAGAAGCGGGAGACGAAGCAGTCTATCTCGAGGACCCAAATTTCCCCCGACTCTCACCAAGTGGTCTTCAGATACTTGGCCTAGTCACCGCCGTCCACGGAGCTTCGCCACTTAAGGAGCCTGCGACAGTTCAACAGGCTCTGGGGGGGGAGCACAGGGAGAAATGGCGCGAAGCCATGGACAGAGAACTCAAAGCATTGGAAGATCGAAACACCTGGAAAATCATACTTATTGCACTGGCACGCAACAAGACCGTACTCACCGGGAAGTGGGTCTTCCATGTGAAGACAAAGGCAGACGGAACCATCAACAAGTTCAAAGCACGATGGGTCGTGCGCGGATTTGACCAAGAACACGGCAGAGACTTCACAGAAACCTTCGCACCTGTCAGCCAACACACCTCGCTCCGAATTCTCCTCGCGATACCGCCATGAAGTAAAAGAAGCTTCGCCAGATCGACGTGGCCAACGCATTCCTCTACGCCCCTGTCGGCGCCGAAATTTTCGTCGAGCAACCACACGGTTCAGACACAAACCCCAACCAGGTCTGTCAGCTGCTGAAATCCCTGTATGGGATCAAACAAGCTCCACGGCTATGGCAGCAGTACCTACACGCCCGACTAATCCACATTGGGTTTCACCAACTACCACACGATCAAGGCATGTATCGACTCAGCAAGGGAACCGTCTACATCGTGCTCATCGTTTATATAGACGACCTGCTCTGCATAGGCTCCACCGACGGCATCACCACTTGGTTTGAAGGGGACCTACAGAAAGACCTTACCCTTACTGTCTTGCCTACTGTAACCCAATATCTAGGGCTTAACATCCAATACGGCAAAAATGCAATCCATCTCAGCGCTGCTAAATACGCCGACACCATCGCAAAACGCTTCGGGTTGTCGCCAGCAACCATCTCCATGCCATACTGCTACACCGCCGGAAATAACAAGGAAAGCTCCACCCCGCTCGGCCAAACCCGCCGGCATACGCGACTACCAGCGAAAACTGGGATGTCTACTCTTCACAGCCGTTACCTGCCGACCGGACCTGTCATACTTAGTGAGCCAACTCGCCACCTATCTCAAGAAGCCCGAAGCAGAGCACATGGCCGAACTTGATCGCGCACTACACTATCTCATCAGCACACCAACGATCGGCTTAACTCATCATAAAAGCGGAACCACGACCCCGATCACGCTTGTGATTCTGACAAGAGGCGATCACGTACAGGCTACATCTACCGACTCGAGCCTATCGGTCCTATCTCGTGGCAGTCGAGCAAGCAAGAGCTGATTTCTCTCTCATCAGCTGAAGCAGAATACATCGCACTCTGCTCAGCCACCAAGGAAGGACTCTACCTTCGCGAACTGCTGGAAGAAGCAAAGCTAGCCCAGTTACCCAGGTTCTCCCTTTTTTGCGACAACCAATCAGCAATCCGTATTGCAAACAAAAACGGATTCGCGAACCGAACGAAGCATATCGCCCTGCGATATTTCTTCGTAAAAGACGAGATCGAGAAGGGGAGACTCGAGCTGTCCTACTGCCCCACATCCGAGATGGCAGCAGACTATTTGACCAAGAAGCTTGGAAAACAAAAGTTCGAGTACTGCATGTTGTTGACGTGACAAGGACACGTCACCAGCAACGACACTCCAGAAGTGAAGGGGAGTGTTGGAAACATGTAGCTTACGCTTCTTAAGTATCAAAACACTGAGCCGTAAGCGAAGCGAACTACAGCGAAGTAACGAAGTGAGTCAACCTTGAGAGGTTGACACGAGACAACAGTAAGAGGTTACGCGAAGGTCAAAGGTCAGCGACCTTTGACTCGCCGAAGGCAGCGCGACAGCAAGGACACACAACTGACTCGTTATTGAGCAGTTGCCCGAGTCGTCGCTGTGTCGAACCGCAACACAGCGACCTTTGACTCGCCGAAGGCAGCGCGACAGCGAGGACACACAACTGACTCGTTATTGAGCAGTTGCCCGAGTCGTCGCTGTATCGAACCGCAACAGCAGCAGTTACAATTACAGTTATAAATAGCAGTTAGTTAAACTTTTCGTATTCTTTTGTAATCATATATGGTAAAAACGTGTGTCTCTTTGTTTTAATCAACTCATCGTGTCCTCACATACCACCACAAGGTGGTTCAATAAGTTCACTAAGAACGCTTCAGCAATTACATCATAATCCCGAGTCTTAGGGTACATTCATGTGTCGACATTTGTGTCTCAATAGCTTTGAGGCATTCAGAAACAACATAAACTGTAGTGTGTCTCAAGCGCGAGTCGCTTTTGAGCGACCATTACTATATTTTTCATTGGTCACCGTGAAACACGCTGACGTCGCTGACGAATTGTAAACCGACTCGTCACTTTCAAAAAATCACACGCAGTCCCAAATGTCAATACACCTGGTCTGCCTGCAATGCCAATTTCGCGCGGGAAAAAAATCCTCGTGTCGAAATCACACCCGAGCCAAGCGGTTGAGCGCATGGGTGTACAGTCATCTGTGTCACCCAATCAAATGGGCCCAACAGTGCATTTTCGCCTGGTCGCATAGTTCGCGATACATTCAGTTTTTGTGACGTGAGATTGACAAAATGTTCCGACGCGACTCGGGATAAGGGGGATTGAGACACAAATGTCGACACAGGAATGTACCCTTAGTTTTAAACGATCATAAGGGCTTTTCTCAACCCAACACATCTTTAGGT